TTTATGTATCATACTATTTCAAATACAATATGTTTTTTGGTCATTGAACACATTGTTATTATTACTATTATTATTATTATTATTATTATTATTATTATTATTATTATTATTTTCAGGCAATTAAACAAGGCTTAGTGTCTTCCCTTGAGCTGACCGACTAGATATTTGTTAGAGTGTTGAATTAGCCCGCCCCCTTTCCACCCCCGCCCCAACCACCGCCACGATTACAATGCTTACTTTGTGTGTGCGTCTGCCTGGGTGCTTGATAATCTGTGTTTGTTTATCAGTGTGTTGGTTAATACGAGTATGTCTGTCTAGATATATGTTATTAACCAGGTAAAGTGTGGTTTTTTTCTGTCGGTACGCAATGTTACCACTGTTTAAGGCATATTTTTTTTCAATCCTGTTATTTTACGGTGACTACCGGCACTATTAACTGACCTTGGCTCGCAGGTCGACCCAGCTCTGAATGGGTTCCAGGTCCAGTCACGAGAAGTAACGTCGGCCGGCGTGATGCTGACCATATCATCCACAAAGTGCCGACTGTTTTATAAAAATAGGTCTAGCCCTATATGCCAATAGGCCTAAAGGCGTGGAAAAAGGTCCTCTACTTTTTTCTTAGCGGCAATGTTTTATCGGGGAGAGGGAATGGGTTGACAGCATCCAGATGTGCATACCGCGTTCCTCCCGGGTGACGGGAAAGGAAAGAGCCGACAGACTGGCCGTGATGCAATAGTTAGTGAAATAGTAAGTATGGGCAGGGCACACAAATGAATGCTCTCCGTTGTAGAGACGTTAAGGTAAAGTAGTCAGAATTGTCTGTTGGTAATGCATATTAACCGAGGACAAAGCTACGCAAACTATTGCGTTGTAAAGAAAGAAGATATACCAGTCAACTCCTGCTGGGTACAGTGAACACGGAGACAATGAGATGGCTTCTGCATCGGACCAAGACAGTCTTCATCTACTTTACGTATCGTTAGCCCGGTTTGGTGACATCAGCAGCATGGCCCGTCAGATGGAGACGGTTTTGATCGGACATGTGTGCTCTTATATCGATACTGGTTAACTAAATGTTAGTTGATATTCTTTACCGGACTTTGCAGAAAGAACCCCAGCATTTTCTTTATTTATTCGGTTTATTTAGGCAAATTTACGTCCCGTAGTTTGCCATCTGTTATCTGGACGGTCGGCTTTTGATTCCAAAGCTAGTCGATGTACTGTCAAATCGCCTGCTCCCCAGCAGCATTACGCAGATTTGTGCATCCACGGGGCAGGTAAGAATGTCGGACTGCGCATCCGTGTCTCCCATCAAACTGGCACGGCGTCATTAAACTTTGACCCATGAAAGCTATTTCTCATCTCAGAGACACCTGCAGTGTCTGAAACAGCCATGTGATTAATGAGAGAGATGACAATGGAAATTAGTCCACTGAATGACGCGACCGGTTGGTTCATCAAGGAATTTTTTGGGAACCGTTCTGTGTCACCATGGGATTAATTGTCTGTTATTTTAAGGCAGATTTCTAGTTAGTGTTATTTTAATTCAGGTTTAGAGTGTTGAGGGAGGTATTTAATAAGTGTTATTTTAATTCAGGTTTAGAGTGTTGAGGGAGGTATTTAATAAGTGTTATTTTAATTCAGGTTTAGAGTGTTGAGGAAGCTATCTAATTTTAATAAGTGTTATTTTAATTCAGGTTTAGAGTGTTAAGGAAGCTATCTAATTTTATTAAGTGTTATTTTAATTCAGGTTTAGAGTGTTGAGGAAGGTATCTAATAAGTGTTATTTTAAGAAAGGTATCTAGTTAGCGGAATTTTATTTAACCCTATCTCGGGGTCTTCGGGATTTCGTGGGAAATTCCCGTTAAAGTCAAATAGTATAGGGGTGTTGGGGTGTAAATTTCACACGAACGAACGAAATTAACAAACACTGAAAACGATAACAAAATAAATGCTGGGGAAAAAAACCGTTGAACTCAACCAGCAAATTCACACAGAAAGTTAGTAGCACAGTCGTTCACACAAAATAAAGCGACGCACTTTCGTATGGAAGGCAGTTAATCACACTCTTTTACACATTGTATAACCACCGAACGAAGTCATGTCGTAACACCCCTAGAATATGGGACTTTCCTTGGAACTCCATAGGAAATGTCTATGAAATCTGGGATCATCCGAGATGGGGTAAAATCAAATAAACAACCCAGGTTTCTAGTTAAAGTTATGGTAGGCATGTATCTATGCAGCGATTTACTAAACACAGGTGGGTTTTTCAAAGACAGTCCAACATTTTAGAGTGTGGTAAGACTGGGTTTCCCGGCTTTCTGATGCTTTTAACGACCCCAAAACATCTATAACTGGCCCACGAGAGAGTGCAGCTCAGGTCCCACGAATGCGCGCAGCCTAGGTCCCACGACTGCATGCAGACTATCTACCACCCTCTGAAATATTTTACTGTCCCGTGACCTGTGGATTTCCACTGTTTGGGGTAGGATATTAATATAGCACCCAAATGTGTGCTTTTGTATTCTCAACATTGGAGTTGAGCTTTGGCTTGAGTGGATTCGTGCGTTCTGGGCATCTTCTCTGGTGAGACGCCATCCCCTCATCCACGCAATACTTTTTTTTTTCCCTATACCAACAACAGGGTCGCTGACACAAAGAAAAGACGGAGGCAAGGGGGGAAAGCTCGTATATTTTCTATGCGTAGTTGCAAAATACAAGAGGGTGTTCATTGACCTACGCCTAGTTTATGAGACAATGATAATGTTCTAAATGTCATGAATATAGTAATATATTTTAAGTGATACGAAATGTATGCCAAAAATACAGTACATAAAAACAGTTGTATACGTGGTTAGTGGGGCTGTTTACTCTCTATAAAACGTTATAAGGAAGAGCTGCGGAAGTGGAGGGTGGAGGGGGAAGAGAACCTCAAGATATCATAACTCCACCCCTTCCACCTCGCCCTCCAAGTTCCACCACTTCCGCCCCATAATGCTGTTACGGCGACACTTGTGATAATGTCACTCACCAGCAGAACGTCTTCTTGTTCCCCGGTACAGATCATTCTGAACTCCATGCACAAGTACCAGCCTCGACTGCACGTTCTCTACACGCCGCCCAAGTCTGAAGACGTGTCCAGCACTGAGAACCACAGAACTTTTATCTTCCCTGAAACCAAGTTCATGGCAGTCACCGCTTACCAGAACCAAAGGGTTAGTACTGCCTTTTCTTCCAGCAACAATTTCCTTCGCCGCTTGGGTGTAGCGGCAAGTCGCTCGCCTGTGGACCCGAAGGCTGTGGGTTTAAAATCTGTGTCGAGTCGAATTTTTTTTTTCTTTAAAGTGACCTTGGCTCCCAGATCAACCATGCCTAATAAAGGTACCAGGAGAAGTCCTAGGAAGTAAAGGCAGCTGGTATGTCGTTACTAACATCACCAAAAGAGTGCCGATTGGTCTATAAGACACGGGTTTAGCACTAACCAGTTCACCAAAGGGCATGGAAAAGATTCTTTTTACCATTTCTTCCATTGCCGTTTCTTCTAGAAGAGACGGGATCAAAATCGAAGATATGAGGAAACAAACTGGGACTGAACCAGCACTAAACTTCATCAAGAGACACCAGATCAAATGGTTTGGTTATATGTCAAGACTACCACCAGATATTGCACCACAGAGAGCCCTGCCATTTAGACAGAGTTAAAGTACACTGGAGGTCGATCGCGCAACCGATGGATAGATGAAATATCCTAGGTCGAAAAACCAGCATCTGCGTGGCACATACCAAGGTTCCTACCCGGTGCTTCTTCAAGCCCTTACGTTGAAAGGGAGAACTTGACTAGAGAAGAAGAGGGAGAAGAGGAAGCAGTAGTAGCAGCAGCAGCAGTAGTGGTAGTAGTAGTAGTAGTATTAGTAGTAGTAGTAGTAGTAGTAGTAGTAGTAGTAGTAGTAGTAGTAGTAGTAGCAGCAGCAGCAGCAGCAGCAGCAGTAGTAATTTTAGTAGTAGTAGTGGTAGTAGCAGTGAGAACAAACAGAAGAAAAGACAGAAGAAGAAGAAGAAGAAGAAGAAGAAGAAGAAGAAGAAGAAGAAGAAGAAGAAGAAGAAGAAGAAGAAGAAGAAGAAGAAGAAGAAGAAACAATTGTCCTTCTAATCCGTTATAACGTTTTATACAACCGAAGTATTACTTACATTTTGCGAGACATGCTTCGCTTAGTTTTCACGAATGTGCAGATCATCTAGACTGGCATTATTTGTAAAAAAAAATAAAGCTTTATCAAAGACTCCACCACAAGGCGCACTAGCCTCAAGCAGTTTAATCCTTGTTTGAGTGCGTAATAATTACTATACAAATAAATATAACAGTACACCTGAATCAAAAGGAACTACATAAACAAACACTTCAATATTTAATGTCTAAAGAAATCTAGACCTGGGTGGGTCACAGCCCCTGCCCCCTCCCCCCTCTCCCACCCTCTTCAATAAAACTGAGGGGGAAGGAGCTCCAAGTGCCTTAAGTCACATGTTCCGGCGCCTATGAACATTTCACATATTTGATCCTAGTTACTACATCGAATGTTTGTACTCCAGTTCTTATATTCAGTTCCAGGCTACTATCCCATTTCATTATGTGTCTTTTGTCACATTTCTCAAAACTCTACACAGATTTTGATATTCTGTTGTCAAAGTATCAAGTCCTACACTGTAAAGTGGACTGGCACCTGAGACAACAATGTTATAACGTCTTTCAAGACTGTCCTAAATATAAAATATCAAGGCAAAACTTTCGGCCAAGAGAAACATCGGTACAAGCCAAACTTTACAGGTCGCTGAGTGAATTACAAAAGGCAGTGAATTTCACACTAGAGACAACAATGCAGATATAGATAATCTATTTCTACGCGTTAGTTTTCAAATATAAAATATTAAGTACTACATTATAATCCGATTTTCTTAGATAACCCAATTGAAGATTGCCAGTAATCCATTTGCTAAAGGATTCAGAGACTGTGATCCTAATGACTGGTAAGTCTATTTGTGTATATCTGTGTATGCCCTTTTTAAGCAAATCAATCAAGTATTCAGGCACGTTAAACTGAGGGTCCCCTGAGGGTCATATGGGTTACATGTTGTCGTCATGGGAGGGTTACATACGACAACTAATTGGAATCATTTAATAAACCTGATTGCATAACAATTCCTTTGTGCGGGCCGCATGTATGCTTGCAAAGGACCGCATGTAGCTCGCTGGCCACCATTTTAACATGCCTAAAGTGTATAGTTATGTATATTGTACATTTACTGAGAGTCATGGGAGATTTCTTCTTCTTGGCGTTCACTGGCTGTTAATTCTAGCGGAAAGTTCTGAATGTTCGTCCACTTTTGAACTTTGGCGTGTTTCCAGAACTTGAATTATGCGTGTACATCTGTTTTACAAATCTAGCTAATTTGTATGCAGGCTGCTGGTTCCTCGCCTCTCCTCGCAACCCTGTCTACATGCTATCAGTTGCGAGAGACCAAGCCATACTGGATAAAACACGATGCAATGAAGTTCGTGAAAGTTTGCTACATGGATCGTCGCTGAAGCTCCAGAACCAATGCTTTTTGCGACTATCTGCAGTGTACAGGGGCACCGAGGAGAGAAGGTGTGGGAACACTGAAAGAGGGAACGAACGATCAAACGAACTTTACTTTTCCGAATTGTCCCAAATTGAACACGGAGGTCCGTCTTACAATCGACCTTTCTAAATACTCTCTTGCATATTGCAATTTTATTCTGTCTGTAAAGTTTGTTATTTTTATATATAAAATACATACTGTGAAGAGCATGAAGTAAATACACACAAATATGGATGGTTAATGCATACATTCAAAAATACATGCATACTAAACATCTATACATACATACACACTCATACACGCGCGTATACAAACATAATTACATACACACCGCTAGAGGGAGAGACAGAGAAACAGATAGACCAACAGAGATGACAAGAGTGAAAACGAGAAAGAAACAGAGGAGAGACCTAGAGAAGACAAAGAGAGAGAGAGAAAGGGAGGCTGAGAAAGAGAGAAACAACAAAGATGCATCGAGTCTTACTGGATGAAATCTCGTTCAGTCAAGTCGAAACTCTCAGATTTAACCCTTTTCAAACCTCAAAAGACAAAACAAAATGAGAAGTTTAGTTAGCTGACTGGTTCGTTTCTCATCAAACAAAATTAGAACCAGGTGATGTCATTATATATATATAAATATATATATATAGAGAGAGAGGGGGGGGGGAGATATGGCTCTCGCGAGCAGACGAAGTGCATAGAGATTTTTATAGCAAAAGCGAAGGGATGTCGCTTAGTGCAACAAAGCCTGACATATATCACAAGGTCTACTTTGAGAAAAGAGGTGGAGGCAGTCACTGCTGCCTTCCATTCGCTTTTAAATCAGCTGTACACATATGTTGTCAGTGTAACTGACTCACGGAGCATGTTGAGAAAGGTGGAGACAGGAATGTTACGTGTAGAATGGCAAGCATCGCTTTAGAGGCTCCGGGTAGTTAGCGACCTTTGAATATTTTCTCCTGGAATGCCGGTGTGTTGGGAAATGAGTAGACAGACTGACTGGCTGGTTCTGCACCACTTGGTGGTAAACTGATGTATGACCAGCTAGATGTTGTGAGCACCCTTTGGCAGCGAGTGAACAGTGCTCAGGCACAGATAGGTCATTACGGTCTGAGGAGAATGGCCACGCAAGGAGTTACCAGGCGATCAGGCCGACACTCAAGGGAAAGGCGAGACGGATATACCATAAAACAGTTACTGGTGCCATCGGAATTGGAACTCTTCGCTGGTGAAGATGGGGACAGAGAGCTTATAGGGGTGTCCTGGGTGCTATGATTTCGATTTTTAATTTAACATGCATCTAACAAGAAACCAGGTAGTTGTAAGGGTTTTGACACACACCCACTACGCTAGACTAGACACGTGTTGCCGTGTCCTAATATAACTGTGCCTTTTAGCTGTGCATGAGGCGGGAGAACTGGCGAGAGACCGAGTTTCATTCAGGCAGACTGTGATGAGATCGACGTTCTTCAAAGGACTTGCTACATGCTGATATGGCTATATACATCTACATACATCTTTTCTCGGAAGCTAAACATTTTTGGTCATAGCAAGTGCCATGGCAGATTGGAAGAAAATATCATAACAGAAGGCATGGTACCAGGAAGGAGGGACAGGGGCCGACTAACACGAAGATGGGCACAGGATATAAGTGATTCCTTGAATATGAAATTACACGAGGCGGGAAAGCTGGCGAGAGGCCGAGTTTCTTTTAATCAGACAGTGATGAGAGCGACGTTACGCTAAAGACCTGCTACATGATGATACAGTTATACTATTGAACAAGGTTTTCGGCTTTGTACCAGTTTGATTCTCAACCTTGAGATGTTAATCCTACATAGTGCAGTCCTGGGGAGAGAAAGAAAAAGGGGATGAGGGGGAGGGACTTTAAAACAACAGCAACACAAATGGCGGCATGTCAGCACGAGCACTTATTCCCTGGATGTGTGCAAAATGTCTCGGACAGGTGTCAGCAGGTGTTGCGTCTGCACATTGTAGTTTCCTTGTCAGGGAAATCTGCCTCAATTTGTTCTCAGCTTATGCTTTAAATCTCTCTGTTTTCTTTTTTTTTTTTTTTCATTCCAACTTTTTTGCCCCATACATTTAGGCGGTCTCAGTTTCGTCGTGTGATCTACGTTTTGCTAAACATTTCTTCAATGTTTGCTTTCTTGTTTATTTTTCTTCTTTAACTTATATATGTGTGTTTGTTATCCACCCATTCGTCCATTACTTATCTATGTGTATACCTGTCTTGTGTCTTTGATATTTGGAGTCAAAAATCTACCCAAAGTATTTGAAGATCCTCGCCGATGCTACAGAACCTGTGCACTGTGCTGAGCTTCTTCGGACTCAGACTTGAGTTAGAAGAAGAATGGAGCACTTGTGGAATACTTCTTGTGTGTCATGATGTTGTTGCGTTTTTGTTTAAACTTCAAACTTCAAGGTCTATCATTTTCCCGTGTGGGCTCCTATGCTTCATTGGGGGGGGGGGGGGGGGGGGGGTAATAGATCCACTGCACACCCCCCTCTCGCCATAGGCTGTCGTAAAAGGCGACTATTTAGCACTGTCTCCTTCGAAATATTTTGAATTTCTCTGTAGTAATGCACCTGACGAGATACAGCAAAATATATCAGGTAATAAAGTGTGCAGTGTATAATCTGTGTAGAGATTTTTCACTGTTTAGCAAAGGTTTTCTTTCTATGTCAACAGCATGGCAGAACTGTTGCAGATGAACCCAGGGTGTCCCTCTAGAGCACGTCCTCAACACAGACCCAGCTCGTTCCAGCTCCTTGGGATGTCCAGGAAAAGAGACGGAGATAAGGGTAAGAAAGTGAATTTAAACTTATTTCAGGTTAAGAAAGTGAATTAAAACTAATTTCAGGGCAAGAAAGTGAATAAAACTAATTTCAAAGTAAGAAAATGAATTCAAACTAATTTCATGGGACGTCGCAGGTCGACCCAGCCTAAAATGGGTACCAGGATGGGCTGTCCTGGGAAAGTAAAGACAGCCGGCGTAATGCTGACCACATTACCCACAGAGTGCTGATGGTCTGTAAAAATATGGGACGCTCTGCCCATATGCCCGATGCGCCGAAAGGCGTGAAAAGGGATCTTTACTTTCTTTACTTTCAGGGTAGGAAAATGAATTAAAACTAATTTCAGGGTAAGAAAGTGAATTTAAACTTATTTCAGGGTAAGAAAGTGAATTAAAACTAATTTCAGGGCAAGAAAGTGAATAAAACTAATTTCAAAGTAAGAAAATGAATTCAAACTAATTTCAGGGTAGGAAAATGAATTAAAACTAATTTCAGGGTAAGAAAGTGAATTAAAACTAGTTTCAGGGTAAGAAAGTGAATTAAAACTAATTTCAGGGTAAGAAAGTGAATTAAAACCAATGTCAGATCGAAATTTTCGACAAGGACTTTGCTTTTACATGCGACCCGGCTCGCTAGCATAGTTAGTTAAACCGGACTTTTGGCCACCCGGTGACGAACTCCTTGGGTAGGCATAAAAGCCACATTTCTCCCAGATTTACGTTATCTATCATAAAATCAAGACCAAAGGATTGCGATATTCATATCACCGAGTCAAAGGGTTAATAACTCATGGTTTCTGGGTATTCGGGGGAGGGGGGGGACACACACACACACACACACACACACACACACACACACACACACACACACACACACACACAAATTATCACATGCAGAAATGAATAAACTTTCATGTAGTGTAAAAAAAAGTAAAATTCCCAACTTTTAAAGAAAATAGTCACTTAGTGGGTTTAGTAAAAGTAAATTAAAGGATCATTTTCCACACCCTTAGGTGTATTGGGTATATAGGGCTAGACCTATATTTTATAGACCAAACGGCACTTGGTGGGAGATGTGGTCAGTATCACGCAGGTCGCCTTTAGTTCTTAGGACTGTACCTGGTACCTACTCAAGGCTGGGTCGAACTTAGATCCAAAGCCATGTTTGAAATAAATCGGGCTCCCGTCAGAAACCTAAACCAAGACCTTCCGATCCACAGGCGAGCGTCTAGCCGCTAGAACACAGCGGCTTCCCACTTAGTGTGTCTAACCTGTCCTTAAATTACTGCATGTCCTTCCAACCAGTTGTAAACCAACCTATGCACGCCGTGGCTGTTTGAGGCAGCAGACCGTCTTGCGTTAGTTTTGACTGTGGTATCGATAGCCGACCGTGTAGTAGCAATGGCAAACTAATGAAGGTCAGTATTGCCTAGCGAAATCATAAACAGCAGAAACAATAAAAATACAGGCTGGTTCTACAACGTCCTGTAAAAAGATCACACAACTAACATTTTCCATGTTTTTCTAAACGTCTACACTCACACCTTCCCTTTTTTCATCTCTTC